TTGTCATTTACGGTTTTTGAATCATGAGTAGCAATATGAAAGTCTATATTTAATTTAATCAAACTCTATATTAAATTTCCATGATGAAGCGTCTCGTTAAAATATTGAGTAAGAATTATTATCCGCCTTCCATCATTATAGTGAGAAACAAGAGTCCTAAATCGATTTCAACTTATTGAGTATACTCAAGGCTAGTCAATTAGGAATATACTTGACACATATAATGACTAGCAATATGAATTTGAGTAGCACCATACTACTCAAGTCTATATTAAATTGTTCAATGCATGTTGATACATATTAATTCTTTACTTCTCATCATTTAAAGTTTTTGAATCATGAATAGCAATATGAATTTGAGAGGCATACTGGATGCCAACAAGCTTACCGAAATAAATTTTCTCGATTAGCACCGCAATCTAAGAATTGTTCTCAGGCATGAAAAAATTTGATTATGTCCTTGTGTAACACTTTCCAGAGATACTTACACTGAGGACTCGGCTGGGGAAGATGTTGCTACTTTTAATAAACACAGTGATGAAGATAATACTGCAACATGTGTGATTCTTGCAGCTATATCATTGCAAAAGCAACACCAGAGCATGGATGCTTACACACTGATTTTTCATCTCAATGAGTTGTATGATGAACAATCATGTGCAGGAAGATATAAAACTTCCAAGAAGCTATATTAGTCAGTGTTCTAAAATTCTTCAAAATGCGGCGCCTAGGCGGGCCTAGGCACGGCGCACGACAAAAACGAGTCGCTTTTGTGTTATGCGCGTAAAAATGCGGCCAACAGTTTTTGTTGACCGCCTAGGTAATGTGCNCGATACGCATTATGACGCATATTCTCCGCATTGACACGCTTATACTTGAGATTCTTGATTCTCTACCTCGACGCATCGCAACATATTATGCATTTTAGAACACTGATATTAGTGCAGAATGGTAGAAGGATCTCCAATCAGTGTTATATACTGAAGATGATTGACTTTGTTAAGAGTTTCACTCAATTGGTTTGTAGTGCTGGACCAAGAACTAAGTGTGGACTTGATTATGATATCTCTATCAGAGAGCTATTCACAGTTTATTATGAATTTCAACATGAATAAGATTGAGTGTACACTCTCTGAGTTGCTGAACGTGCTTAAAAAACCGTTGAGCCCAAGCAAAGAAGAACTGCAAGGCTTAATTCGCGAGCTTGAATGGAAAGAAATCTTTTGAAGCTTCCAATTCAGACATCTTTATTCTGGAAGTTAATATGTCTACTTCATTGGCTTCTCGAGTATTAGATACCAGATATGGATCTCATATTTATATAAATAGATATAAACTAAATAGGAGCAGATCATTGCAGAAGGAAGAAGTTAACGTACACGTTGGAATTGAATAAATGTTGTTGCATTGTCTGTAAGAGTATACTTCTTGTCATTGCTTTTATGCTTAATATTAGAATTAGAGAAATATTATTATGTTCCAACCATTACCATGAACATTATTTAAATTTTAATTCAGACAGGAATTATTTTAATACTAAGGACAATTGTTATTCATTTTATCGTCATAAGATCTTAATACCTATGGTAAATTGCAAAATAATTCTAAATACTGAGTATTCCATAATGAGTTTAGAAATAAAAAAGAAAAAATTTGATAACCAGAAATTGTAGACTTTGTTATATAAATGAAAAAGACATTCTCAAATTACATAGAGATTGATATTTGGGGTTAAATGACTTTGAATCATTTAACAAATGTGAATTATACCAACTGCATAAGATGACCAAATTTTCGTTTACTAGAAAACGAGAAAGAGTTGCACAATTAATGGATCTAACACATATTGGTATATGTAGACCTATGTCAATCACCGCTAGAGGTGGTTTCTCTTACTTCATAACATTTACCAATAACCATTCAATATATGATTACGTATACTTGATGAAGCTCAACCATTGAAGAGTTCAAGATATACAGCTAGAAGTAGAGAAACAAATAAGTAAAAGTATTTTCACAGTAAGATCTAATCGAGGTCAAGAATATTTAAAAGGAGAATTTTTAGATTATCTAAAAGAGAATGAGATTCTCTTGCAGTGAACTCCGCTACATATAACACTACATAATGGTATTTGTAAGTGGAAGAATTGCACATTATTAGATATGGTGCAATCAATGATACGCCATGCATACCTACCAAAATCATTTTGGGGTCATTAGTTGACCCTCCCTGATAGGATAAAACTCATAGGTTGTAAATGAGATTACAAGAAAAATGTCAACATGGGTGGAAATAGCCATACATACAAAATAAGGCTACTAGTAAAGGTGACAAACAAAGACAAAAAGTTGACTTTGATGAAACATTTTCACCTATAGCCATGCTAAAGTTCATTCGAATTTTGCTTGCAATAGCTACATATCATGACAATGAAATATGACAAATGGATGTCAAAATCTGCTCTCCTTAATGGGAATTTACAAGAAGTGTACGTGATACGACCCAAAGGTTTTGAATTCAAAGATGCTACAAGGTATTCAAGCTAGAAATATCTAAATATGGATTGAAGCAAGCCTCTTGGAGCTGAAATCTTAGCTTCGATAAGACAATCAAAAGATTTGATTTTATCAAGAATGAAGATGAACAATGTGTTTACAAGAAGACAAGTGAGAATAATGTCATATTCTTAATATTAGGCGGTATCATCTCATTAGAAAGATAATACAAAAAAAAATGATATAAAGAAAGATCGGGTTCCAACAATTGATAATATTGTAGAACAAATGACAAAGAGTTGTCGCAGTATAAACATGATCATCATATAGACTTTTATAATATAAGATACATGAGTGATTGAATCTAGTACAAGTGGGAGTTTGTAACTGTTATGTTCCAAGTCTAATGGATTTAGGTTGTAAATATTTTTAATGTGATTAATGCACTTTATTTATGGCAATATCTATTATTTAATTGAATTATTATTCTTATATTAATAGAGTTTGTATATTTAAGTCCTAGTAACTTGTTAATTACAAGGAGTTGTGATGGTGAGAAATAAATTATAAGTGATTGAATTTTAAATTATTCATGATTGTAAGTACTAAAGAGATACATATATCGTTATTACGAATAGACACACACATGTGTTTCTCACTTGTGAAGTGAGTAGTTGATCTCACAAGTTAAAATGTAGTGATATTTAAATGGATGCGTGAATGTTTTATTATAAAAACAAAATATTGGAGACTTACTATAAAGATTCCACATCTCTAACTAGTTGAGCGTCGGTAATTAATGTCTAACGTTTGGTAATGAAATGTCCTTTGACTTGAAGTCCCATAGTATCTTATATAGGAACAGTTATACGTTGGTGATATTGGATATTGCTATACCAAGAGTTGCTAATAGAACATCGTTCGGGCATAATAAGAATCATATGAAGGTTGTGAATGATCAATAAATGATTCGTCACTTTTAGATAGTAAGATATTATAATCTACATTTCATTCAATTAAATTGATAATGAAATCCTTGGCCAATGCATGTTCATAAGTATTGATGAAGGAATAATAGTTTTACAGTAAACGAACAAGTTTGATTTTGTCATATCACGTGACATTTCTCTTCTTATGTATTGCCATGTCACATTGCTAGTTTTCAATATGGAACAACGGATGTGGATTGATGATCAATTAAAAGTGTGTTTTAATTTATCGATTTTAATTAAATTAAAATAATAATTCATGTCATCAGGTATTGTGATCGAGAACCTAATGTGTCACACACAATAAAGAGAATTAGAAGAATGATATTACTAATTAATTAATTGAGAAGTGTTACACATTTGTAGAATTAATTAAGTAGTTGCTTATTAATGATTCCAGGTTAATTGATTAGATTAATTAATTCATAGACAAAACTGTGTTAAATTTAAGAGACGGGCTAAGCTCACTTAAACTTCTATTAATAAGTTATTACGGCTCGAGGAATCATAATACACATTAATTATCTTACTAGCACAAGAAAAGAGAAATTTTAATTCTCTAATTCTTGTTTGCTTATGTGGATTATTGGAGGTTGAACAATTAAACATCTGTGGTATGTAGATCGTGAATGTACGTGTTACAAGATTATCAAATAAAGAAAAGAGAAATTCTAATTCTCTAATTCTTGTTTGCTTATGTGGATTATTATTGGAGGTTGAACAATTAAGTAGCTGTGGTATATAGATCGTGATTGTACGTGTTTCAAGATTATCAAATAATTTTCTAGAATTAATTAAAAGTACCGTTCTTATCACTATTTCTATCTAAACACAAAGAATATCCTCGATGGAAATTGAAATTGTTTGAACTCGTTATTAATGATAAAGTAATTCTCAACAAATCCCAATAGGAATAAGACCACGATTAATCGAGAGGTGGTATTTTACGTAGAGGAAACATGAAAATGAAATGCCACAACTGAAGATCATTACTCCGTTACCTCTTGAAATAGAGAATATATTAGTTTGAATAAAAAAAACTTGACCAAGTAATGTATGCATTCACAACTCTAACATCAAGTTCATACGATGAACAGATGAAGATTTGCTACATTGAAAGATTATGTGTTTGAGTGATTTTCGAGGTAAGGAGAAGTGTGAAAATAATATGAAATTTTTGCTGTCAGATGACCAGAACCAATAGATTTTGAAGAAGTGCAAATATTAATTTTTCTTAATAGCTAGGTGTGTTTTACAAATTACAAGTTCAGCATGACTTAACTTGTCAATAACAATTGATTCTATGGCATCTATCGACAACACAAAAATTTGACTATGAGCAAAATGGACATGGATTGAACAATTTGCACCGCAAAAAATAAATTAAAAGTAAATGTATCGTGTTCATGAATAGATAAATTGGTTGAACTACATTGTATTTTCAGGAACAATAAAATAAAACAAAAAACATTTTATCATGTGTTTTTCCAAAGATCATGTCTAGATCACGAGGTCTTAGAAATGTTTACACTGTGGAAGTGGAGCTCCACATAAATCAGGATTGCCCACAAAAGCAGATACAGGAATAGTAGCCTTGTGTGGGGGAATTTTCCCACTTAATTTATTCCTAGAAACATCAAAATTTTTAAGAGATTTGAGATTCAATACCTGTCTTGGAATTGTGCCACTCAAATTGTTGTGTGACAGGATAATGGTTGTCAATAACTTGGCATTGCCGATCTCCAACGGTATTTTCCCGGATAGACCATTTCCGACAAGTTTTATTACCTCCAAACTACTTAAATTTCCAAGAGATTTTACTATATATCCTCTCAAGGGATTGTAAGAAAGAATTAGTGATATGACAGAAGCCATAACGGGTTCATTTCCAATGTCATCATCTATAGGCCCCGAGAACATGTTGTATGAAAGATCAATTGAGTTGTAGTAGCCAAGAGGAAATTGGAAAGTTTTAGAGAATATTGGTTTCAAATTTCCCGTAAAGTTGTTGGAGTGAAGATCCAAATCCATCAGAAGTGAAAGATTCCTGAATTCATCTGGAATGGACGAATGGAAGCCATTGTTCGATAGATTTAGAGAAGAAAGTTCAGTCATGTTGCCTATCCAAGAAGGAAGTTTCCCTGTCAATGCATTGTTTGATAGATCAAGAGTTGATATTGATGTCGATGCCAACCAGTTTGGAAGTTGCCCTTTGATCCCGGTCTTTCCCAGCGACAGGCGGAAAAGGTTTAATTTCTGAAACCAATCTGGTATGCTCTCGAGTCCTAAAGGATTTAGCGAAAGGTCTAGATTCTGTAGATTCTGTAATTTAGAAAGATGGGAAGGAATTTGACCAGAAAGCTGGTTTCTTGATAAATCCAGTGTCTGCAAATTGTTTAGATTGCCAAAACTTGGTGGAATCTTTCCAGTAAACTGATTATTGGAGAAGTATATATCGGTAAGAGCGGTGAGATGTCCAATAGTCGCTGGTAGCTTTCCTGTGAACTTGTTGTTTTCAAAAACAAGACGTCGAATCAGTGGAAGATTGCCAATCCCGGGTGGAATACTGCCTGTAAGTTCGTTTTCTGACAGACGAACAAATTGTAATGAACTGAGCCCAGTTATAGACGAAGGTATACTTCCAGTCAGTTGGTTACCATTAAGGTACAAGTCGACTAATTTTGTAAGACCACCTAATGATCTTGGTAAGGTTCCAGACAATTGATTTTCTGATAAGTCGAGGTACACGAGATTCTTGAGTTTTCCAATGGTTCCTGGAATGCTACCAGAGAAGTTGTTTCCGTGGAAATCAAGTTTAACTAGTGAAACCATCTTCCCAGTGGAAAATGGTACCCAACCGGACAATTGATTTCCCGAAAGGCCTAGTTCAGATAACGACGTAAAACGTTCAAAAAGAGTAGGAGGGACAGAGCCAGTTATATAGTTGTTACTGAGATAGAGCTTTTTCAACTGATAAAGATACCTGAACGTGACAGGGATTGATCCAGTGAGACTGTTTGAATCAAGAAAAAGATAAGTCAATCGAGACAACTTGCCAAATTCAGATGGAATTCGACCCTTTATGTCCTTGAGATCACTGAGATCAAGAAGCTCAAGAAAAGACAGGTTTCCAAGAAAAGGAGAAAGAGTTCCAGACATTGAGGTGTCGACGGGGTAATCGGTATCCGAAAACAGGCCCGGCCGAGAAAAGTTAACGACTCGGCCTGAGTTATCGCAAGAAATGCCATCCCAGGACTGGCAACAATCTGTTTGAGGTGTCCATGTATTCAGCAGTTTTGAGGGATCTGAAGTGATTTGGTGTTTGAAATTTAGTAAGGCTTCTTTGTCGACGGCATGGCAGGCCTTCGATTTCGATGCAGAATTGACGAAGAAGAATAGGTGAAAGATGAGCAGAAGTATGTTTCTGAGATTGGAATTCTCCATTGGAGTGAATGAAGACGCTGAATTGATGGACTAAAACTTAAGCTTGGAGATGTGGAATGTTATGTCAGAAAGTAGGTTTACAGTTTTGTCATGCATTTAGAGTCCTTTTTGTCTTGAGGAATAATTTTAAAGAGTGCTCGCATAAATGTTAATTTGTCACATATATTTGCTCTCATTCAATATTCTCTAAGCGCATAAAATTGCAAGTGCAATCCCTACACTAAATAGTGGACGCCACGCCGTTCAGTTCGAGTTTCTTAAGAAGATCGAGTCCACATCGAGCCATTTTTTGTTAAAAATTGGAAAAAATGTAACTATTGATAATGTAACCGAAAAAGAAAATCTAGACCGAACCACAAATGTCGATTTAGTTCTTTTATTCTTCAACAATAAATTGTGAAATGTAAAATGTCGTGTAAATTTCTTGTTTTACTTTCATGCTTGTTGTTTCCAGCAAGAAAGCTGATAATTATTCTGAATATATATTAAATCATGTAATTTTGTATTAATTATAATCTAATTGAGATATGGTAAATAATATAAATTTGATAACTAAATTAAAATTCATTTTATAGCTAGAGCCAAGTCGAACCGGAACTATACGGTTTCCAATTTTAAGATTGCCAATTTTAACTAGACTAGAATCGAACTGAACCAACAAGTTAGGTCTGGTTTTGGTTCAGTTCGGATGTAACTGGACAAAATTGTACACCCCTATTTGGAGTTTCAAATGAATATCAAATGCTTTGCAATTCTAAACATTTATTACGAAGAATTGGTAGATTTTGCGACATGCCTTCTTTTCATCGTTGAAATTCTATTTTAGATGAGGGGGTGTATCTTTAATCATTTTTCATCATTCGAAATGGACTACTTTAGAGCTTCTAAGTCATATTATTTATTAGTAGTAAGTGGGAAATGACTTGGATCACAATGACTTGTTAATTTTCTTTTTAAGAAAAAGGAAAAAGAAAAAATAAATAAAACTGAGCCACCTTATTAATTGATTTTGGTGATTGTCGTGCCATTTTGATGCTGGATTCTTGTGATTTGATATAAATAGGTTGGTGAAAAAAGTCCTGGAAAATAAATGCCTCAAGGAAGACTTTTGAGAACACTCAGTTTTTCGCAATTAAAAATTAGCATCGGTTTGAGGGACTAATATTTTGTTGGAGAATGTTTGGTTACAAATTAGAGAAAAGTTTTGAGTTTGCATGTAATATATATATATATTTTTTTAAATGTGATTGAAAATAAGAGAAAAAAATATATTTTGAAAATAATGAATATCAAACATGGGCAATATATGCAATATATCGAGATCTGAGAATACCCAAATTTTCGCTTATTATTTTAGGTTATTTTAAAATACCAGAATAAAAATCCTAACCTATGTTGATTATTTTAAAATCATTATCTTCAGGAAAAAATTAAAATCATAATCAGACTAAAATAACAAAAAACTATGAGAAGAATTCATAATTGTAGTCATGTGAGGTGTACAAAAGCTGATAATTAAGGATAAGCTTAGTTTGAACGTNAAATAACAAAAAACTATGAGAAGAATTCATAATTGTAGTCATGTGAGGTGTACAAAAGCTGATAATTAAGGATAAGCTTAGTTTGAACGTTACTCTGTATGTCCATTTAGAATTACTCATGATTCGATTTATACTGTATTTTAAATGACATGGCTTCGACGAATCTTCAAATGGCACGAGTGCCCATTGAACTGTCGAAATACTCATTCGTAATATAATTCATATTCAAACTTAATAATTACATTCTAGAAAAGAAGCATTCCCAACTTACTAATACTTTTTCGCCTGCAAGTCTGCATTTTAAGGCACATCAATTATCTACTCAATCACAATTCAAAGAATTCGGTTCCACAACCCAACTCCAAATATGTGCTACGATGTACCCCATGTTTGGATTCTATTATGTAGAGCTTATTTTTCTTCCAAACTCATTTTCAATCACATATTTTTCAATAAAATAATTTGGTATTAAAATCAAAATTTGTCCTAATTTTAAATTACACGATCTCAATAATAATAATTATTTTTTTTTTATTTTTTTATTTTTTTATTTTTTTTTTTACAAAATATACTGTTAGAAACGAGACGAGATGATATGGTATGATATGAAGTATTAATTACAATAACAAGATGAACACAAAAGCTAGAATTTGATTTGGTAGAGAAATTGAAGATTTTATTTAACAATTATAATAGAGAGAAAATTCAATAATTGTGCTCCTACATAATGATTATAACTTTGAGTAATATAAAACTTATAAAGAATGGTCTATTATTTGTAGGAGTACATGTCAAACCCTAAAAATAACCCCTAAAGATGAAAACTAGGTCAAAACACGAGTATAAAAACAATATAAGTAAAATTTCGAAATGTTGCGGCGCTCGATCGCCAAGCAGACGTTAGAGGAGCGTCAACACCCGAAGAAAAATCCATCATGCAGCTCCAGCATTGGGCGGATATCATCAACTCCGTTTTTCCTCATTGAATCCTATTTTGACATCTTCAAGCCCAATAATTCAAACTACACAAACCCTAGTCTGAATTTGGGTCACAAAACCCAACATATACTCTCAAAAATAACACTTTCCACCGTTACTTTTCTTGTAGGTTGGATCAGCTCATATAGTCGGTCCATGACCGATAATCTGACCTATGGTAAGGCTTAAAATATAGCTCGAGTTCACACAGTTGAATTTTTTTCTACATTTATATTCAATTTAGTATTTTAGATCATGAATGAGTTAAGGATCGTAATGATGATAAATAAGCTTATGTTCCTTCCGG